TGTTTTCTGGCTGGAGTCCCATATATCAAACATCATCCTTCAAGCAAGGAGCAACTGTCTTGACCTTGGTGACATGATGGCAGTAAATATATGCAGTCTCAGAATAATGAGGCAGCTAAATCATTAAAATCAGAATCAGTCCCAGTTATTGATACTAAGAGGTAATGTTACCCAAGGACGCTTTCAGTATAAAACATCTGCAGAATTATGCAAGCTAGTGTTAAAAAAGAATAATAGGTTAAAATAGGCCTCTGTACGCTTATCGCTGGAAGTTTTATATACACCAAGTTTGGAATAGATAAGCCAGGCATGCAACTTTTCCTGAGATCCGCTGTTTTCTTTGTTTTTGATCTCTCACGAATGCCAATGCAAATTGACGAACATTTTTAATTCCCAGTTGCATGCCTGATAAGCTTTGAACATAGCTCCTTTACTTTTCTTGCACATGACTGAATGAACAAAGACTTTCAAACATTTTTAAATTTGGTGTTTCTCTCTAGGTTTTTGAGTGTCTCGTCAAAATCACAAGAAAAGGATCATGATGCATACCAGAAAAGGTAAACCTCATGTTCAATTAAAACTGAAAATGACACATTCTATACGAGTTATAGGTTGATTTACTAGTGTTAACATTTCTTGGGTTTTGGTGAGAATGTCAATTCACAGTCAATTGATCTTTCACGTTCTACGTAGTTTCAAACGGTTGTGCGTGTTTTTCTCGCAGTGTTGTGATGCCCAATGAGCTGAAATTTCCATAGGTTAGGCTTTGCACGTAATGCTTGCATTTTCAGTGGTTTTCAGTTTCAGAAAACTGCACAAAAAGCAAAATATGCCTAGAAAAATCCCCAATCTAAGCATGTTCATGTTTGTCTCCTTTTTTGTGTGTAGCATCTTAGGGCGTTTGCTGACAGGTGATAGTCATGAATTCAGTAATTTTGCTCCATGCCTATGGTAGATTACTGTTACCTGACCTCTCATCATCTGCCATGGAAGGGACGTCAAAAGGAGGGATGGCATTGACGAGCACGGTTGCCAGAGGCTGGAGCTGATGTCCTAGTCAATGAAGTTGACATCTGAAGCCAGAGGTCCTGGATGCTGGCTCTGTCTTGGTAGGTGATGCTCAGAATGTAAGGGCCCATTTCAATCATATCCAGAACAAGATACAGACAGTTCTAGGTGCGGTCATTCACTTTGTCTGGAAGAAGCTCTGCATTTGTTCTGGACATGTTCCGGGAAAAGTTTCATGAGCAACTGCTTGACTCACCAATACCATGAACCAATAACCTCATTGAAAGAAGATTGCAGGAAAGTTGTTTTAGAATCCTAAAACTTAAAAACCTGATACAGTGTCCACAACTTTACCTTAAGTCGTCCTGGATCTGCATTTGGTCGATTCTTAATACAGTGCGCCACCAAGGGGTTGCCATGGAGAGCCCTTTTTTTTTTCTTTTTTTTCAAGTTTACGGTCGACAAAAACATGACGGACTTGCCGCAATTTGAATGAATGTCAGTGGAAAACTTGAAAGTTTTTGGTAGATCGAGGCATAGCATTCCGCCGCCTCACAGAAACAAAACATCTTGATATAAAGATACTTGAGATAAAGATGCTTAAATCCTGTGCCTTGGGTGTGCCTTGGGTGTGCATTCCACAATGCACTAAGAAAGATTGACACTCAATGGCATACTGTGTTGCAACTGGAGCATTTGTGTCATCTTGAATATTTTTGTCAAAAGCTTGTACATGTAATCAGGAATGTCTAAAACTAAAGGATTTTTTTTTAACTCTGAGAAATTACAGGTATCACTTTTAAAATTTATTTGTTTGTTTAAATTTCAGGTTTTCATGCCCTTTCAAGAAGATGCTACTCGCGATTCTAGAATGGCCTAAACCATGTAAACCGCACCGCTCTGTGACGACATCAAATACCAGAAAAACTTCTATTCAAAAGGCCTTGGACTTATGAAGAATAGACTAAGCTATTAAATTAAATGGGGAAAGGGTTACATGGGCTTTTCCATGATTGTGGAGACAAGATAGCAAAAATCCCTATGAAGAAAAGCAAGCTTTGCAATAAGCCAGTTCTGTTTGGAGTAGTCCAGGTCAAATGTCATCCGAGAATCAGGATACAATTGCTGACGTGATGTTATGTGTTGTTACACGTTGAACCCAAATGCCCATTCTGCTCATAATTAGCAAACGAAACGACATGCGACCGACTCGTTGTGCATTCACGTACCATTAATAAACATTTGATAACTGAATCATCCATGACCCTTTATGTCATGCGCAGTTGAAATACCGAGCTGGCTTATTGTTAAAATTGATACATAACTTGATGCTTTCCTACGTGAAACAGTTTTGTTCCAAGTGTTAAACGTGTTACAGTAATATCAGGACTTTTACATGCAAGTCATTTTAAATTTTAAATGAAATTTCAAGTTTGTTTCTTGCATTAGTCTACTGTGTTGCTTTTATGTCGAAGGTCAGACTCAGTAAATTTAGCATCCTGAAATGAAATCTATATTGATGCATGCATCACAAGAGATGCTGAGGCCGTACTATTTCTCATTCAAAACTAAACTTAAAGATGAATGTACTGCAGCCATTTTCACGAAAACTTATGCAGTGGCATAAATTCCCTTCCGCCACAATTTCTGCGCAAGTTGTGTAATATTTAATGCTGTGCGACATTTCAGTCATGAAAATTTCACAAAAGTGTCATAGCATGTAAATTGCACGACAAATTTGGCGTTAGGTGCGCAATCATTCGAGGTTGCAGAAGTTGTGGTGTAGTGACTGAAAATGATCTATTTTACCAGCAAATTGTGATCGTCTTTAGCATGTCATTGCACAACTTATCAAGGTTGATACGAGACGCACATTGTTAAGAGATGCCACAAACTTTACGTAGTAGCTACGTGTATGCCAAGTTTTGTGAAACTAATTATCAATTAATGCGGTACAACTGTGCAGATCGGCAATACATCTGCACGTGCCGTACATTATGCACTGTTTTGTGAAACCGGCTGCTGGTTTTGTATCAGAAATTCAAGTAATTTTGACAGTTTGTAAAAGATGCATTATCTGTCAACATGGAATTTGTTTGTTGTCATGTTTGTATGTATGTGTGTACTTAATGTTTGTGTATATTTATAAGTGCTACCCTTTAAGAGCACTGTATATGTACAGTCAAGCACCTTTATAACAAGGTCTTTGGGACTTGACGAATTACCTTGTTATAACAGGTAACTTGTGCTAACAGTAATGGAAAACAAAGGAAAATAAAGAAAAATAAATGTGACCTAAGATTTTGCTTGTTATAAGCAGGTCCTTGTATTAACAGTGCTCTTCTTATCAGGGTTCGACTGTACTAATTAAACCATAGTAGAACAGCCAAATCTGTCAATGAAATAAGTCAATGACAATGACATAAAAAAAAATTTAAACAGCTGCTAAAAAAACATTTGTTTAAAAAAAAAAGATACATGTTGTTTAAAATTGTTTGCAAGAAAGGATTTTTAATGAAATGAAATGAAACCTAGAAAGGATATTCACAACTTTTATTTTTTGTTAAAGTTCATTTAAGTCAAACTAAATTTATTTGAGAAAATCTGGACGAAAATAGAATGTACAGTCGACTCCCGTTAATACAAACTCATTCGGGCCTAACCAAGTTGTTTGTTATATCAGAGTTTTTTGTATTAAGAAGAATATCAACCCTTTCACTGTGCACATGGTATTAACAGCGTTTGTACTAACGAGAGTCGACTGTATTAGGAAACGTATCAAAGATACAATTCATGTAATAACGGAAAATATTTTATGGAACAATTAGAGCTGCTCAAAAATGAGTTGGTACAGAAAAACTGTAATATTTGACTGCCTATAGAGGGCAGTATTCATAGATTATGTGTAACATGTATACTATAGATTATTCATGAAATAATGGTCACTCTGTATTTTGAATGGTTAGCTCTGTAAAGTGGATAACAATTTCCAATTTGGACAAAAATCTGGGGAAAAAGGTACAAGAAAAAGTTGGTATAAGGTGCTGGTCAAATGTAGGTAAAATTACAAGCATGTGTCACTCGGGGGAAAGCCAGATTGCCAACTGAAACATTTTAAAATTAAATTTGGCATTTTATAGCTAACAAACCACCAGGTTTGTCTTAGTGGTTTGTACTTACAAAATAGCAACATCTGAAATTTTAAGTACTGACAAATTGAGATTTTTGTAAATTTACTTTTATGTAAATTAAGATCTGCATTTTAGAAAGTTAAATTTTTAAGTTTCTAAACTTTAATTGTACCCAATGATAATTGTTAATAAGTGTATTATGTAAGCATACTGGCTGTCAGTAAATTATGTGCATCCTGCACAAGTGGTTATCAAATAAATCATAAAACTTCATTAAGAACCTTAATTTTGAGCTTTTTGTTGTTTCCTTTTGAATATTCAGTTGTCTGGTTTTATTATTCAAATGATGCTAAGGCTTATTGCGTAACGTAATCTTTAGTCAAGCACACGAGGGGGTGCCTCCCCCCCCCTTCCTCCCGACAAGCCCAACAAAAAAAATAATTATAAAGAGGAAGAAAAGAAAGAGAGGTGTATGGGCATTATTGTTGACGTAATGACGTCACGCTTTGTTTACATGTGCACTTGCCTATGTAGTAGATGGTCCCCACTTTGTCTGGCGTCCCTACTTTGCTCTACGAAGTGTATATGACCTTCCGCATTACTGCGTTACTGAGATAAAATATCTTGGAAACATGGAATTCCCTGAAAGGCTATCGTGGAAACGTGGAATACTGTGATAGCCTATCACAGAAATGTGGCCCCATCAATATTTTTGTTAATTAAAAAGAAACATCCCAATTGACAAAATCCCAAGTTGTTGGACATATTTAATTACATAACTCCGCTGTCCATTGTTTACTGTTTAATAACTTCCTGCATAAAATAAACTTCAGTAAAGGGGGTTTCAAACAAGCACTTCTCATTTGTTTTGCTTCATGTTCCTCATTTATTTTCATCTTCAGCCTCATTGGTAAAAAAGTAGGATGAATAAACAATTCTTTATAACCCTCTTCTGTAAATACACATTACTTGATTCAATGCATATCGCGGCAGACACTGTAAAAACAAAAGATTCTTAACGTCCGTCTTATTTTAATTAAGTGAAAGGAATGAAGATGAACTCAAGTTACTCAACACTGAATGAATCAGTTGTAAAAGATGCTTTACTTTTGTACATTTCATATTGGTTGCAGAATATACTGTATAATTATATTGTAATGCAAAAAAGAAGTACCAGATATTGGGGCTATAAGGGCTTTCAAAATGAATACATTGTCACTCCATGCTTGGACAACAAAAATCGTTTTCTTTGACTAATTGTACAATTGTTAACATTCTTTTCTGAAATTACAATTAAACAAATAAAAAATCTGCATTTTCAAGTCCACAAATCTAAATAATTATAGTAACCAGGTTCAGTGATGAGAAGATTTCAGTATGTGGAGACTTTTCTACACATTTCATACCTTCAAAGTCTTCCAAATATTTGACAGTTTTTGCACACGGCAATAAACTTCTGGTACAACTGATTCACAAAATTTCTTGGTTTTTGTTCTGCACGTCTGGATTTTTATTCAATTAAAAGGCACAGGTGATTCACAAATGTTCGTCAGAGCACAACAGACTGACACAATTTTGTCAATCACGGGTTTATCCCCAGTGTCACTGTGCAACAAGGTGACGGGGATTGTACTTGACAGAATAGCAAATTTGCTCCTAGCACATGATGTAAGCCCAATGATTCTCTCTGCATGCATTCTCACAGGTGCTATAGTTATTTCAATTTCATGAATCATAGGATTCGGTTTTCCTTCGGTGGAGCAAGGAATGTTAACTTCAGCACACATCAATCCAGCATTTTCAGCTATTTCAAAGCCTCGACTGGCTAGCACGAGATCTCCTGGCAAAAGCTTGTCGAGGAGTCCACTGTTTGTGGTGACGTATTTATCACTTGCGCGTCCTCCCCATGCACTGGATATGAACAAGATAGAGCCCTGTGGTGCGGTTGCAATCAGGTACTTCACAGTGTTGTGATGTTTGTGGCGCGACCAAGTCTGTGCTCTAGCCAACAAATCAGAAGGCCTCTCGATAGACATTTCAAAACAATCTACGACAACAGCAAGTTTGCAACCAAACTGTTGTCTAAATGTCACTGGCATAGTTTTTCGCAGTTCTTCCCGATCTGGCCACACTACGAAGCCTTGTAAACTTATGTACAACGTGTGAATAATTCTCAAGAATACCTGAGATGCCGTAGCTTGTGATACATGGAATCTGTGCCCCAGGTCCTCCAGTGATTGATTAAGCCTGAGTCTTATGAGGGTGAGGATCAGCATTTGAAACTTGTTAAGGCCTACCAATCCAGTCTCGTGTATGTAAAGCTTGACAAAGTTAAACACAACCATCAAAATCTTAAAAGAAGGCAAGCCGGTATAGTAAGTAACTTTGCTGTCATTGTCTTTGAACGAGTCCTCTGATGTCACATCTTCTTTCATCAAACCCTTACGCTTTATGTTTTTCCTTTCAAGGTTTTGACATTCATGTTTGAAGCAAGTTGGAGAAGTGTTTGCACACTGCACAGTGGAGGGGTCTTGCTCACTTGGCATGGGAGACGTTGTTGATGTGACTGATTCAGATGTTGGTCGCTCAGTCTCCTCCACCTTGACAGTTGAGTCACATACTGGCCTTTCCTCAGTCTGTTCCAGAGGAGATATAATGCCATTTGGCACCTTGACAGCTTCCATCTCTGCAGCCAAATCACCAGATGTCTCTGGATCTGCCTTCGCCTCTGCATCATTGGCTGGCTCAGGGATGTCCCTACTCAATCCAAGTAAAGATTCGGCAGCTGTCATTCTTCGTCTCTCCCTCTTGCATGATCTGCTGGATCTTACGCAGGCAGCGGTAGGACTAGCCTTCCTTTTCTGGGCTGATTCACCAGCAAGCTTAAGGGATGGTGCCCAATCAGGGTTGTTTGTGTCAAACAGACCTGCAGGTTTTCCTAAAAATAAAAATAGACATATGGTGTTGACACTTTTTTTTTGCAATTAAACCCTACATTGTTTGTATTTCTACAGCATATCTGAAAAAGATAAGGCAATAAATTTGTTCTAAATAAGGACTGCATATGATCTTTGCCGTTGAAGAGACCAATTGTTGTGCCCAACTGTGATCGGCCCATCTGATGTAATGGCCAATACCCAGGCATGCTGGGATATGGCTACGAATTACATAAAGCTAGACACCCTGTGCACAAACACTATGTGTGAGACTGGTCTAAAAAATTCAGTGTTTTCTCAGTAGGCTAAATGCTTCAATATTTTTATTTTCCCTGCTAAATTTGACTTTTTACTATATAGAATTCCCTAAACTTTTACCACTATTAGACGTGATCATAGTTACAATTGTGAGCATAACTGCGTATTATATTACCTTGTACGAAGTGATCTGAGCAGACCCTCGACTGTTGGGACGGTGTCCAGTCTTTTCTATCGAGTCTGGCTATCCAGGTTTCACGGCGACGACGGCTGAACTCCTCAGTTCTTCTGCATTCACGTGTCCGTATTTTGGGGAATAGAAAGAAACCCCGCTTTACTGCCGGATCAGCACGATTACGACAACCCTTCACGGCACAAGTAGTGACCATTATGCCATTCGATAAAAGAATTCACGGTTATTTTACGTAAAATATGCCCTTGTTTACAACGCAAGACATGGTTTCCACCATCGGCCTACTGCAATGGCGGATGGTCACGTGGTACTTTGACGTCATACGATCCAGGGTCCGGTTTTAATTTGGCGCGCGCACTTGAAAAGTTGTTTCAGGGAAAATATCAGGGATTTTAGTGACCCAGGCCAGAAGAAGATTCGACAGTCTTGAGCAGCGTGTCCGACTCGACTCAAACCTGTGTCCATTGACCGACTGACGGACGCGCGACAAGCACCTGTTCTGTTAGCTTCAGGAAGTTCAGGTAGGCCTATTGTTTGTAACTTTTTTTGGGGGGGGGGGAGCTCGGAAGGGAGTACTCCGAGCCTGTCATACTGGAGTGGCGCTCCCTAAACGTGACGCACTTCCACGTTTCCCCGACTTTCCTCATGCAGTGTTGCCCGGCCTCTTCTTAGAGAAAACTTCAAATTCATTCAGTTAAATACTGGTAATATTACCTTAATAATGCTTGTGTCATGAAATTAAGTCCGAATTCCGAAATTAAAAAACGGTGGCGTCCGAAAATTGAACACAAATTCAGCCCGTGTTCCCTAACGTGGCTCAAAATCCCGGAAAATTCCAAATAAACATTTAAGAATTGCTGTAAAGTTGATAAATTCTGGTAAATCATTATTATCTCCACTCACATACGCAACTACAAGTTTGTCAGCTATAGTTTCTTATTTATGGCGAATTTTAAAAGGTTCATTGTGCACTTCCAAAATAAATCGGAAAATCACGCCAAAATAGCATTTCCCTCACTTTTTGAGAAATTTGAGGTAAGGCACTGGAGGCGCGAAAAAGTGCGCCACGTTAGGGTAGGCCTACATCACCAATGTAGTCTTATTATTGGTTAAAAACAGTCTGGGGTATGGAGGAGGCAGAATGAAGTAAAAGGGGCCATGCAATGTAATTATTATTTAATGCTATCCTTGACAATGCACCTAGCTTTGTGTCCCATCATTCAACCGGCGTACACCTTTATTTTGGTGCCTTGTTGGGTTTTAGGCTAAATAATATTCATGAGCAAATCTGGATGTAATTCGGGCAGAATGTTACAGCTATTATAGCACTGACAACACACAAAGTTGGATTAACTTGGATATCTCGCTGTCATGAATTTGTTTTTTTTATGATTCGTTGTTAAGTTGGCCAACGTGGCTGTAGGCCAATGAACAACCCTTTCTCATACTTTAGTCATATGACTATTTGTTTTCAAGGAGCAAATTGTGGGTTCACATTTTTAACCGAAAACCCCTAAACTGAAGTGTCTGCACGACAACAGCGCCCTCAGTTGTCCGGAAAAGCAGGGAATTTTATTTAATGCCCCTGTGACAAAAAAGGGGAATCATTTCACAACTTAAAAGACCGCTAAGACATAATGGGGTCATGCAATATTTACATATTGAAAGCTACCAAGCTCCCATAGGAAAGGGCACATGTAACCAAAGCGCGACTTCATCATGTATTGTTCTGTGAAAACTTTTCATACATTTGTTCTGAAAAGACAAATTCTTTTCCTTCGATTCTGAAAAGTCAAGAATCAATCTTTTTTTAACACAGCATGACATCAGAAATCACCACACAGGTATGTTTAATACTTCACCACAAGTTTACCACATAAATTTTTATTTTTATTTGTACAGATACAAAGTCAATGATTAATCATCCGTATTTTTCTGAAACATTCCCAAAAATGTCGGAAACAGTATCTACAAATGTAGATACATCAAGTGTTACATCAAAGAGATGCCGCAGTAAAATATTTTTTTCCTGAAATGAAACATAAATCTGTTGGTAAACAATTTAAGCAAAATTTTAAAATGTACCCCAATTTCTAGGTAGCCACTCAGTATGACGGGAGCACTGCATTACACAGCAGAATAACAACATCACAAGAATATAGTGCGTTGACCAACATTTTGCTTACCAACAGAGACTTTATTTTCAGCTCAAGTTTTTCTCCTTTCCATTGACAATTTTGTCACAAAATTCTGGAAAACAATTTTGCTTCATATTTCATTGCTCTTTGGTTTATATTCATCAAATTGTGAGTTAACTCAACAAAGTGATGAAAAATCCTTGGGGCTTTTTTGCCCCCACCCTAAAAAAAGGACTAGTTGGTCTATTAAAGTGAACATTAAATTTTGGTTTTGAACAAATGAGAATTTAATCATATTTATAATCAACTGAGGATCTCAAAATTTAAATACTCAATTTTTTTTTTCAACAACGATTTTCCCATCTTATACTTTAAAATAAATTGTACACTGAAAAAGTTGTCAGATACCAATATGGCTTTTGTTTGCAAACAAAAGACAATGACTGATGTTATTTCTTGAAAACTTGTAAGACTAAGAGCTCCGTGTGTAGAACAAACTGCATATGTGTACTGGACTGCACACACACCGTTTACTAAGCACAATTACATTAAATTTCCTTCTATTAATGAACACGAAGATCTTCCGGTACTGTGACAGTGTGTTCTTGAGTTCCTCCTAGCTCTCTTGTTGTTACCGTTGAGGGGGTACTGGAGTACAGTCAATGAACATAATGCGCTGTTCAAGAGGCCAATCAGCAGCTTTAGGCCCTCACAAATTTGGGGGCAAGTTTGATCTCTTCATTTGATCTATAAAAACATTCAGAGGTGAAGTTTTGACAATGGAAAATACCAAAATTTTTGTTCTCATAGAAGTGAACAAACTTTTTCATCACGTTCAAATTTTCTTTTCAAATGCTGCTAATTGCCCTTTCGTCAAATTCATGACTCATCAGTTGAACTTGCATTGAAGTTAAGAAAGACAGAGGAGGAAAAATGCAGAGAATTTGGTGGAACTGGAATGAAAAGAACTGAGCCTTATGGAAGTTCTCAAACATTACAAACTTTTAGTCAAGTCATCACACCACCAAGAACTAACAGAATCAAATGAATCGACAATTTAACTCAGGTATTTTCCTGAGGAAGAGAGGGACTCATCCTCCATCAAGCACAAGAAGCTTGTCAAGGAGACTGAAGATGAGTGGATGAAGAGCCACTGCTGCCACTGTCAAATTTTGCATGCAGTGGGGATTGATTGCTGCCTCTCCTATTTGTGGGGCATGCCGGACACCGATGACTTGGTCCGCGAGAGCGGGCTTGGTCTACGATTTTATGTGGTGGTGCTACGATGATCATGTAGCAAACGTTCCCATAATTGCACTATTCGGCATGGCAGTTGGTTTGCTGGCAGCCATTTGTGAGGGCAAATGGGTCCGGGGGGGGGGGGGGGGGCAGGAGATAAGGAAGAAGGAAACCCTCTTTATTGAGGTGGAAAATCAACAGTCTACAACTCTCATTCCTTTAATTAAAGAATATTTGGCTACAGGTTCAACAGTCATGCTGGACTGTTGGAAATCATGTGAGTGTTGTGAAAGGCTGCAACATCTCACAGTGAACCCCTCCCTCCACTTCATGGATTCAGACGCTGGTGCCCAGTCGCCCACACTCAAAACATCGAGTGTCAATGGTGGCAAATAAAAAGGAGACTGTCAAGCATGCAAACAAGATCTAATGTAAGTTTCTGCTTCTAGTTGGCAGAGTGTACATCTGTAGCACCAACACAAGGGCTTGACAGTTTTAGTTGGGACAATCCTCTCCAAATATATGTTATTTTAAAAAAAGAACATGTGATTGCACCCTATATGTTAGACGACATAAATAGAAGTAATAAACGGGAACATTTTGTTTCTAAATGTAACCATTTCTTACAAGCTCAACTAAAACAAGATTTGTTGCAAACAGGCCTAAGCATTACACCTGAAGAGACACAGGATCATTATGTGCTAAATTGTTCTGCAGATGAGTCCCAGGTGTCTTCAACCCTGTGACCAGGACAAGTTCGGGCATAGAAACGTCAAATCCAAAGCTTTGACTAGCGTGACGTGAATCATCTCATCTGATTTTACAACTGAGAGCATGGCTTGCCTCTTGGCCATGCACGTCCTGGGGGTAAAAGACAACTCAGATGTTCCTACCGGATGTCCCTCCTAAGAAAAGAAGCACCTAAGGCAGAACAGTCAACCTTTAGTTGTTACGTTTCAAGGAAGATAATTAAGGCCAGTAATCGACCAAGTGAAAATTGCAGAAGTGTCTGCCATGCAAGATGATGGTGATTCCTTCAAGAGGAGTTTCTGCACATGTGATGGAGATGAAGGTCAGCTGGGAAGTGCTCAGAAGAAGGTGATCATGAATACCAACATTTGTCTTCTAGGCTGAATCACAGTGTATATCCAACCTCTTAAGATAAGAAAGGTTGGTTTGATTAATTTATTGAGTATAAAGTCCACTAAAAATAAGTGCTTTCTCTGCATGCAAAATGTTTTCATATTACTCGGACATGTATACAATGTACGCATTGTTTGTTTTTTTGCTATGATGTATCCTATGGAGCAATGAGTTTATTTCAACTGTTAAAAACACTTATGCATGGTGCCATGTCATGTGCAAACAACTTTTGTTTTTTGACAGTATGGAATAAAAATATTTCACCAAAGTTATGTGACACTTAAATCCACCCATGTCTTGTTGATTTTGAAAAGCGTGGGGTTCAGAATGACAATTTTTTTTGGGGGGGGGGGGTGTGAAAATTGGATTACAGGTGTTAAAGATGAATTTATTAGATACTGATATTTTTCTCTCAGAATATAAAGGTCTGATTTCAGTTTAAGTCCATGGCTAGTATCACTACAATTCAGTCTCAAGTTTTGTTAAGTCATTTGTTTTTGTTCTCTGGTTCATGTAAGGTAAACCAACCCACTCTTGAACTTGTAATGTGCTTCAATACCTAAGACTAGAAAATCTTTACTCCTTTAAAAGAAATTGAATAATGTTCAAGATGCTAAACAATATATCTTTCTGAAATGCTTTCTTAGAATCGATAATCAATACGACTGAAAAATACTGTATCACACATATAAAAAGATTTTCCTTGGAATATGAGAATGAAAGAGTTAACTAAAAAACTTTAAAAGTTTCATTAAAAAAAATAGTTGTGTCACCTTGGGAAACTCCAATTTACCAATT